GTACTCGCGAATTTTGTATAAGACTTTAAGTCTATAGAAATAGTTACGCATTGTCTCTATAGCATGTTCCTCAAAGCGCAACCTGTCATCCATAATCAATTCCAGGTTCCGAGCTTCCGAAATTTGGGGATTCCAAGCTAGGATGTTGTCAATTTGTTTACGTGTTCCAAGCAACATGTACTTTGATTTAGAAGGGTTAATTACCAAACTGTTGTTACTGCACCATTTTGAAATACATTTCAAATCAGCTTGAATTTTACTAATTGCCAACTCAGTATCGCAAGGTTTAAACGATATAAATAATTGGAGGTCGTCAGCGTATAAGTGATACTTACTAAACTTGATTGTAGTAACGATATCTGATATGCATAATATAAAAAGTAGTGGCCCTAAAATAGAACCCTGTGGTACACCTCTAACCACAGGCATTGTTGACGATACTATGTCAGAGCCGTTATCACCGGATATTTTAACATATTGCAGACGATTGGAAAGGTAACTTGTAAACCACTTTATAGTGGAAATGTCGAAACCATAGTAGGCTAATTTAGAGAGAAGAAGCGTTATGTTTATCGTATCAAATGCACGGGAAAAATCAAGCAAGACCAATAAAGTACCTTGCCCACTGTCCCGTGCTGTTAAAACTTCGTCCACGACATCGATCAATGCCGTGGTACAGTACTACGAGACCTCCTGAAGCCGGATTGTTTTTCAGGTAGGATTTTATTTTCTTCTAGGTATTTTGTCATCTATGTACAGACAATTCTTTCAAAGATCTTGGACATGAATGGTAGAATACTAATTGGACGAAGCTCCCCATAGTTACTTGGGTTTGGTTTCTTTGGAATCGGTTTCACAGAGGCTACTTTCCATTTTTCGGAAAAAGCGCTCGTTCTAATAGATTCGTTAACCAATCTCGTAGTTGCAGAGCGTTTGGTAAATAAAGTAAGCAATATCATATTTAATGTAATGCCATCATCACCCCGTGCATTTGTTTTAAATGATTTTATTACGTTTAATACCATTGTTTCATCAACTGTCTTTAATTTGAAAGTATTAATTCCAAATCTATCAAATTCAAAGCGAGTTAAGACTGACAATCTAATGGGGTCTTCACTGATGTCGGGAAGCTTAAGAAAGTATGTATTAATACCTTCAGGATTACATAAATGGGATACCATATTACAGTCCTCTTTCTTAAAGTTGGCAACACTTTGATATTTTCCATAAGAGTTTTGACTTGTTAGTAAAATTGATATATTTATTGAAATATGCTATTTTTTCGCTACGTAGGTATTGTCGAATTTACAACGTTTTTCAGATCTTTATAGAATTTTATGTGAATATCTAATTTAGTAGTTTTACTTTTAGTGTATGCCCTATCGCGTAACTTCATCATTTCTTTAATAGTAAAGGTTATCCATGGATGTGATTTATTTCTTATTAGACAAGTTCTCATAGGAGCATGTATATTAAAAAGTTGAAGTGTTATATTTGTAAAATTTCCCACCATTTTATTTAAATCATCATTTATTGTATTTTCCCATTCTATACATTCCAGGTCCAGATTAAAACTGTTAATGTCAATTTCTCTTAATGGTCTGTAAGTAATTAATTTAGGAGGTCCTTAATATTTTTAATATTTAACTGGCATGTCAATAGCGCGTGACTGCAAAGATCAGGAATATGATTAATAGATACACAATAAACATTCGTATTGGCACATATTAAATCAATTAAAGTTTCACTATTTCCTGTGAAATGGATCGGCTGGTTCACATACTGAGTAAGTTTCATGTAGTTAAAGAAATTTTGTAACTTTTGCGCGTTAGGTTTATGCGTATGTAACAAGTCAATATTGAAATCTCCAAGTAAGATGGTATGCTCGTAATTAGCTATAGAGGAAGTCCAATCTGTAAGTACGTCAATAAATTTGTTTACATTAAGCCAAGGGGGTCTGTATGCTGTACCAATGGCTACCTTGTTACCATTAACATTGAGCCCTATCCACATCTGCTCAACAGAGTCATTGTTACCTATTAAAATTCTACGAGCAGTGATACCAAGCCTAATATAAAATCCCACGCCACCTCCTCGCATACGGACTTTAGGTGAACGTGGTAGGTGAACTAACCTGGTGGCGATGGTGCACGCTCTTCCTCCCCTTGCTTAAACCATGTTTCATTTACGGCTAAAATGTCCATGTCGAATCTCGATATCGCTGCGAGAAACTCATCATGGCGGGTTCCCAAGGAGCCAGCATTTAAAAACCCGATTGATAGTCTTTTATTTTTTAAAAATTTAAAAACAAAGGCATACGAAATTTGGCAGTACTTACAATGATCTAAGAAATTGCACAGAAGTGTTAAGTGACGCCATTCAATGGACCAAATAAAATAAGTAGAATAATTGTTATTTTCATAGAGTACAATTTGGCAATATTTCTTGTAAATAAAAAATATTAATTTATATATTTATTTAATAAATAATTCTACGCGTTCTACTCGTAAAACGTTTAACATTATCAAACCCTAACTTATAAAGCCTTTTTCTGGAAAATAAATATTAATCAGTATCAGTCGAATGTCCGCATAGCAAAATACCCTATGACATATAATCATGTTACTAAACTAGTTTAGCTGTGCTTTATTTTTAGTTACTAGTTAAAATGATAAACATACATATATAAATACTAATCCAGAGGGGTAGGCAAAGACTACAAACTTCCATTTGGCACGATCCTGACACACCTCTCTTGCCACCTTTACGTCTATGTACCTACACACACATGCTCGTCGGTTTAGAGTACTCTTAAACTTGTCCATCTTCAATAGTTGGAAAGATTTCTAATCTTTTTTTACAGCATACGCTTTAGTATTATGTCTGCTTCACATCAAGAAATAATACTACTCGTATATCATGGTTCATTATTATGACAGAAAAGGGACCGAGAATAGAGCCCTGAAGCATGCCCATTTGTACTATCGACCCAGAGACCTCATGCCGTTGATAACAACATTTTTCGTTCTATTACTTAAATACGAAAGAATAGATTTAAGAGCACCGCTTCTTACATCATAGTATTGTAGAGTTCTGATTAATGTCTCACTCTCATACTGACACACTCAAAGGTTTTGGATAGGTCACAAAATATTTAAAAAAAAACACCTGTGAATTCTCCCATGCAATGTATTCAGCTCAACGCTTTTTTTTAATTTTAATGAGTGTTGGCAGTACAGAAATATCTCTTAGACTCAAGGGATCAGCTAGCTAATTAATTGCTTCACACATCTGTATTTTCTTAATATCTTGGTTCTTAAAATTTACTATCAATTACGCCGGCAAGCCGGTAGGTATAATATATATAATATTTCTCGGGGAATCGTCGCCGAGTATCGAGACAAACTTGTGTCTGAAGTCGAGTCTTTGCTTAACAAAGTCTCGGATTGGGGGCGACTAAATCTAGTCCAATTCAATCACCAGAAGACACAAGTTTGCGCGGTTACCACTAAAAAGAACCTCTTTGTCGTATCTCCTCAGTTTGAAGACACTCCTCTTGCTGCCTCAGCTAGCATCGGAATACTCGACATCGACGTATCGAATAGTGTGCAGTTTCGTGGTCACTTGGAAGGAAAGGTTAAATTGGCCTCTATAAAGATTGGCGTGTTTACCAGAACGAGACAGTATTTTATGCCGGCACATCGCTTGCAACTATACAAAGCACAATTTCGGCCTCACATGGAATACTGTTCCCATTTCTGGACCGGGGTACCGCAGTGCCAGTCCTTCCACTTGACCGCATCCAGCGCAGAGCGATTCGGATGTCAACTACCGAGTTCTTTCTGATCGCCTCGATTCACTGGTGCTGCGTAGGGATGTTGCATCTCTTTGCATTTTCTATCGTATCTACCGTGGGGGGTGTTCTGAGGAATTGTTCAAATAAGTAGCCGCCAAATTTCACTAACGCACATCGCGTGAAAATTCACGATGGTTCTCACTATCTAGGTGGTTTGCGGTCCACCGCTGTGCGTTTTACTAGGAGTTTTCTTCCTCGTACAACCTCTTTGTGGAATTCTTTACCACCGGCGATATATTCGGACCGATACGACTTAGGGACCGGCAACGCACCTGCAACTCCCCCGGTGTTGCGGTTGATCATGGGCGGCGGTAGACACCTACTATCAGGTGAGCTGCAAGGTCGATTGCCCCCTCTTCTATATAAAAAGAGGTGTGAATACACGATTTCATACAAAGTAATTAGTTGAAAAAAAAAAAACAGTTAGTAATAATATTTTTAATAAAATAAAAATGAGTAAGTAGACAACGTTCTCATTATGCGGTTTCATATAAAACTACAAAGTAGTAATATTTTATATTATGTGTTCAATATTATGCGTGTTAGGAATGTTATTATAGGTAGCGGCACGATTTATTGAGCACGAAGATAAAATAGAGCAAATATTCGCACATATGCACTACACCAACAATAATAAGATGACCGATAGACCGATTGCGTGGGAAAGTGCGGGCCAAGAATTTTACGTTCACCATGTGTTGCTAGTTGGGATCGAGGTGAAGTTTTTGTTACAGTGTTATATAATTAGAGATATAGCGTTTAAAATAAAAGTTTATCAGTCTTTAGTCAGTTTTAAAGAAGTATATAAATATACAAATTGATTCCACAGTAGTTTTGTCTTTAACTTTTGCACACTTTTTAATATTTATGTTGTTTTTCTTTTGGGATTGTCCACAGTTTACTTATATTAATTTCTAACCTAATTTATATAAAATATTAAGTAATATTACAAAAAGAACCAACCCTTACATTTTTCTAACAAATTAACTTCCCCGGAATGCAATCTATCATATATTTCCCCTCATTTCTAAGCCAACGTGGATGCCCCTCAGTGTAGTCGGCTATCTAGAAAAGTATAAATCAAGTTGTGTGCAGGTGTAGGTCATGGTCATGAATCGTGCCGCTATGAGTTGATAGGTCGCGGTCAGCAGGGGTCGAGCAGGCCGCAGGAGGCCGCGAGCGCGAGCAGCGGCGCGGCAGTGGGCGGCGCGGGCGCGCTGCCGGCCGACGCGGCCACGTCCAGGTGCGTGTACGGCACGCCCGCCGCCCCGCCGCCTACCCCCATCCCCGCCCCACCCGCTAGCCCACTCACCATCGCTAGGAACGCGGCCGGTGTCTGATGCCCGCGATTCACTTGCGTCGACGGCAGCGGCGCTGCCTGCAACCACGTATTAATGACTTAACATATGCGACCTACACTTTGACACCCTATATACTAGAGTACTGTACGTGTAGTTTTAGACGCGGTAGCAGAAGAAACAAAGAAAAATATTTATTTTGCCACACCTAAGGCACAACAACAACAAAAAAAAAAACAGATTTCAAGAACGAAAAAAACACCCAATAAAAATTAGGATTTTTTTACATATATTCTTACTAGTGCCTCCAGGTAATGCCAAAAGAAAGGAATCAATTCATAACGATGTCAGGTTCGGAACTAATTCTCTGCTGGACCCCTGGATTGCATTCGCCTTTACCTCCGAAATCGATTGCCGTGTACTGCCGCAAGGGCAAGTAGTATACGTGAACTCTATGAAAAAACATATGTAAGTCCTTATATAAGGACTTACATATGTTTTTTATATAAAAAATATAAATGATTAAAAAATAAAAATATAAATTTCTTTGCAACTTTCCGCTAAACATATAAAATGATGTGTCTTACCTGGATTGAAGCGCACCTCCCGCCCTCCCTCAATTGCATACACTAACTCCGTCACCACTAGACCACGCACCACTACTCTCAACACCACTATTCCAGGCAAGACACACCATCGACGATAATACGACACGTGTTTCGCCTCTACACGAGGCATCCTCAGGTAATGTAGACTCTACGGCGGCTGACCGCTAAGTGAGCGGCGAGTCGAAACAGTTGCTATTTATACACGCTGACACAATCGCTCCCTACCAAAGTAGCGAGTGACCGCGTCGTGCGATAACAAACCTGCCAACAGTTATTATTATTGTTATGATTATTTTTAAATACTATTATTATTATTGTTTTGAGTGACCGCGCCGTGCGATAACAAATCTGCTACTAATTATTATTATTGTTATGATTAATATTTTAAATACTATTATTATTATTGTTTTATTGATATTATTATAATTATTTATTATTATTAATCTTCAAATTATTATTAAAGATTGGCCTTAAAGATGTTTAACAAAGGTGAATTAGAAACATTTGTTTGTTCATTCAGCAGTGTATAATTACCATTATTACTTTTTCAAATCTCCAACTGCTCCAGCACACACAGTCGCAGCCCCTTATTACAGGTATGTAAGACTTCAAAGGAATGGTCGCTAGCTAGGTTGTGTCCAGTGTCCAAGAGATGTTTAGCAAAATGGGATTTATCAGGATTGCAATTTCTGTACGCGGCCATATGTTCTTTATAGCGCGTCCCGAAATTGCGACCAGTCTGACCCACGTAAACGGCGTGGCATTCGTCACAAACAAGTTTATAAACACCCGATTTTTGACTAATATTTAACTTATCTTTATTATTACAAATATTTCTAAGCGAATTGTTTGTTTTGAATGCCACGTTAACGCCGTTTTTCTTAAGACTATTAGCTATTTTTTCCGATATGGGGCCTAAGTAGGTCAAACTACCCACATACCGCCGGACACTTTGAGATCGAACCGCGTACAAAGAATTGCGAACAACATGCTTTTGTTTCTTTTTAATAAGATTATCAACGAGACCTTTTGAAAACCCGTTAGAGACCGCAATTTGATAAATTATATTAAGTTCTTTTAAATAATTTTCTTTATTTAATGGAACAGTGGACAGACGGTTAATGTAACAATAAAAAGCGGCTAATTTATGTTGCCATGGATGACACGATGATGCGGGGATGACCGTGTCGGTATGAGTTGGCTTTCGATAAATTTGAAAAACGTGTAACACGCTTCAATCCAGGTAAGACACATCATTTTATATGTTTAGCGGAAAGTTGCAAAGAAATTTATATTTTTATTTTTTATTATAATGGATTTCCGCAAAGTAACGCCTGATTCTATCAATTATCTTATAAATGATTAATAAAATTCCAGCTCCGGGTTACTCACATGACCTGATATACGCTTCTTATAAGCTAGTTCTCCCAAAACTACTCGTAATATTTTGAAATTACGTAACTTCAAAAGAGTAAACCTGGATAATCTCAGGAAAAACGCTTCAAATTACAAACCTCTGCCTATGTTATACTCATGCTCCGATTCACAAAGTTAGATTAAAGCGTGTTCCTGTTTCTTGGATGACAGATTTTCAGATCACAGACATTCGGGTGGCAATGACTAGACGGAATCGCGCTTTTCTTCGTTTTAGAAACGAACGAACGGAGGAACATTTGTCAGCCTTTAAGATATGTAGGAATCGATGCAATCAGATGGTACGTAACGCTTAACGCCGTTATATCCACAATAATATTTGTAACTCTTCGCCAGCCGATGGTTAGACATTTCTAAAACCTTTTGGTATGGATAAGGTGCCCATCCAGGATTACGGTCCTTCTGTTTCTCTCAATCACTTGAATCTGTATTTTGTTTCTGCTACAGCAATGGACCCTGCAATTCGTTCTCAAACAATAGCTTATTTGGCTTCAATCCAATCTTCTTACACCTTAGTTTTTTATTTCTTACCGGTTCATCAGGATGAGGTCTAACCTCAAGGTTGTGCTGGCTATCAAATCCAGGGCTGTGGGTTGTGATAAAATCAGTAGAGATATGATAGTGAACATCTTAGAGTGTCTTCTACCAGCTGTAACGCATATTTTTCTAGTCTCTGGACAGTATCCAACCCTTGGAAAAAGGGCTATGTACGTCCCCTTCCCTCGTTTCTCGTTTCAAGTCCCTTACTCCCTAACCATTTCCGTCCAATATCTATCTTGCCTTTCTTTCTAAAGTTTCAGAGGCTTGTTTACTCGTATATAAGCAAATCTCTAATTTGATATCAAAAAATAACCTACTGAGTCCGGTTTTCGCTCCGGTCACAGCACCACCACTGCTTTGTTAAAAGTTACTGAGGATCTAAACCACGGAATGGATACCAAAAAAGTAACAGTGGCGGTGTTAGTAGACTTTACCAACGCTTTTCACAAGTTGACCACGATATACCCTGTGTATCCTGTCCCATCTTAAATTTGCTCCCTCGGTCTTGGAATGGTTTTCCTCTTATCTTCGCGACCGCCAGCAATCAGTCAACGTAGGGGAGGAGATTTCCCAGAACACCCTAGGAAAAAGTTTATCGACCAAATTGGCGATATTTTGAAAATGGGCCACGTTATGTATAAGTATATATGGAAGTCCGTAGTCTCTGCCTACCCCTCTGGGTGACAGGCGTGAGTGTTTATAGGCGTCGGCCGGCCGGCGCCGGCGTCAGTCGTCACAGGATCGGATGAGCAGCCATCGACGACGAACCGGAGAGACTGTTCACTCAGTAAGTCCTTTACCCATTTAATCAGACCAGGAGATAAGCTTTACGTAGGAAGCTTACCCAAACTCTATCAAAGGCCTTCGAGACATCAAGGGAAACAGCAAGTGCTTCCCCACTGTTCTGTTTAGTACATAGATCGTTACCGTTACAGCAAGCCTACTGCTGAACATAGGCTTTTACCATTAGATTGCTCCATAGGGGGATAGTTGCTGTGGTCGCCACGCTCGGCAAGCGTGTTGACGACATCAGTTCATTATGTTTAGTCGTTAATAGGAAGACGTTGCTGGCCATCTTCTGAGTTGTTCCCTTCTGTCGCGTCTTAAGATACTCACGGGATGACGTGGGGTAGGGATAATTTTACATCGACATTACACCGTTCGTATTTAAAGCTGGTGAGGGCGTACCTGCAGCAGCGCGTCCCCGGGCGCCTGGCCGCGGTGCGCGGCGAAGTCCTCGCGCCGCAGCCGCGACACCTCGAGCGGCTCGGCCAGCGCGCCGGCCGCCGCCGCCAGCGCCTCGGCCGTGCGCGCGCGCCGCGCCGCCGCGTTGTCCACCGCGATGCCGTAGCCCTCGCCGGCCGCGCGCACCGCGTGCCCGGTCAGCGTGGCCACCGTCAACACGTGCGCACGCGCGCCCGCCGCCTGCACCGCCGCCGCCTGCTCCGCCATCTGCACGCCCACATACAACAATTATAAATTACTTCTGCGTACCACGCCGGCATGCATCGCTTTATTGCAGAGTTGCAGCCATTTATTACCGAGCAAAACCTGGCGAACCGAGTTCGGTACGTCTCGCGCTCAAAAACATTTGATAACGCCGACCAACCCGAAAGGCTCCAACGTGAGGCTATTACCTCATAGGATGAAAATGGACCGCCTGGGGTGTGTCACAAGTTACAAAGCTATCTGCATACGTGTAATGCCACCGTGAATCTTCCGGTTGTAATTGATTCAGACTATTATGGAATAATCGCCGATGAACTACCACAACTCCAAGATTGAACACAACTTTCCCGCATAATCCTATGCAAGCGGATACGGGTTGTGGTGAGGGCGGTAGGTGAATAAAAAGTTAACACATACGTAAAATTTTAATTTGTATTTTTAATTAACTATTACAATATTCTACATAATTTGTAACATATTTGAGTGCTAATTAACACTATTTTCTAGGTAATCAAATTTGTACGACTGTGTATATGTGAATTCATTCCATCTATATACACCACCTGCCAGCATAACACACTAAGATTTCATGTATCAGAAAGATCAACTAAGAATGGAGGAATACTGTAATTTTAATAATCATCATTCATTACATATTCACGGAAGCGAAACTTAAATCATTTCGGCTATCAACTTAAAGTTTTATCGATATATATATATATATATATATATATATATATATATATATATATATATATATATATATTATTTCTATTACATATAGCTGAGTTCCGATGATGATTCTTTTCTTTCTGCCAAACGAGTTTTGTTTATTATTAAATGACAGTTATTGCTCTATTACTAAAACGCTAGATTTTGTGCGAAATAAATTCGACCAATCCCGCTCCTTGTTTTATGTTTGTCACAAGAATGCACAAAGCGTACCTAGTTCCTACAGTGATCTGATTGAGGCTTTCTCCAACGCTGATGTTCATCTCTACGAACAACTTCCTTCTCCTATGTCCCTTCAATAGCTCTGGACTTGGTCATTCTTCTTTCCACATTCAATCTGTTCTCCTTCTCGAAATCAGGACGGCTAGCAATCGTAATGCGTTTAAGATGAAGGCTCGGGAACACTTTAATAAATTTTCAGAATCATCATCGTACTAGTTTATATAATTGTTCTTATTTCATTTTATTAGTTTATATATTTTTTGTGGCTTATTCTTATATATCTTATGTAATTTATTTCGATATATTACATAATTTTTGTTATTTTAGTTTAGTGTTCTCATATTAACTTTTAACTACATCTACTTCATACTATCTGTGCATCACCCCAAGGTAAACTGGTAGAGAATGCCTTAGGCAGTAAGTCCGCCTATATACCACGTGTGTATATGAAGTTTTAAATAAATAAATAAACCCTAATGCTGGTTACCTATTTGGAAACCAACCAGGACCTTTGCGAGACGAATTTCATTCTTTTGGCGCCGCATTTTTCCCAGCCAGCACCAGTAATCACTAATGACTAAAGAGATTCGTTTTGTGTCACGCTGTGCTTGCCTGACAATTCCAAGAGAGAACCAGAAGTAGTATATATGTGACAGGTGGCAGGTACCTCGGCCAGCAGGTCCGCCATGACGAGGCGTCCCTCTGCGTCGGTGTTGCCAACGCGCACGGGCAGGCCGGCGCGCGAGCGCAGCAGCTCGTCCGCCACGTACGCGTCCGCGCCCAGCGAGTTGCGCACCACGCCCAGCGCCGCGCGCACACGTAAGCGCGGCTGTAGTAGCTCACATGCCTGCAAGGCCAGACAATATTCTATACAAAATGGCACAATCTCCAATTCGCAATGATTTCTCCTCATTTATTCCTTTTTAACGAGGCAGAAGCGTGGGCAAATATTCTTTTATCCACGCCTCCAGAACATATCCGCTAAACCTACGAGAGGAATGTTAGATGAAGCACCTACGAGAAAATGGTTTGGTATGAGCGCTTCTGCATAATAAGGGTCAATAGAAACTAGAAACTTGTGTAATGGGGCGACTGTTAACCAAAGCCTCCACTTCTATGAGCAAGGTCGACAGTGCTCTGGATGTGGAGCATGCTCCTTGAGAACGACCTTCAGTGCGATTTTAATCATGCGAATCATCCGCTCCTAAGCTTCACCCATTTCAGCTGCACCTGGTGATATAAAGTGCCACTGTAAAAGCGACAGTAGCCTAATGGCAGGGCGCGGACCGCGAACTCAAAAAGGTCGTGGGTTCGAATCCGCCATTCGACTACTGGCGTGAACCACTCGTAACACAAGCAAATTAAGCTTACCACGAGTGGTTAAGGGGAATATTAGTAATGTTTATAGCATTGTTAATATTCTTTAAAAAAACTGTATACCCCTAACTAAACCATCAATGTAATTTATCTGAGAAAATAGCTGAAGGCGAGCAGTCGGTAGATCAGCCATACATTCCTCGCGCGGTCTCGCCCGTCGATACCCGCAGAAGAGACAGCTAGCTGCCGCTGGCGCTGCACGCACAGCCGGTCGCAATTTTAAAATCCAGTACCGTTGCTGTAATTAATATTGAGAACGACAGGTCGCGTGGCTTATGGTGAAGTGCTAATGGCTTTATCAGCACGGCCTGCAATGATGACCCGCAGTCTTCGTATTTCAAAGCATTTTTGTTCCTAATATTGTGCTATAAAAAAAAGGAGAACAAGTTGCGCCAAATATTAAACTTTGCATAATACATATTATTTTAATAGGTGAATCACGTGACTCCTGCCATAAAATGCTAAGTACATGTTGATCTTCGGCGCGAAATGTTATTCGTAAAAGCAGTAGTGAATATCGCCTATAATCACTTTCCTTTAATCGAGTTCTATAAATCAGGACCTGTACACAAATAGTCATTTTAAGAAACTCCTTCAACTTTGGATGCCGCGTCAAAAATAGCCTAAGCTTATATGGTTTATTTATATTTTCGACACCGAAATGGGAGATGTACAAAATGTGTTTAGCGGAACGTTCTTTTTCCCTATCACCTGTTATGGAATAACTGATAGAACAAGGTAGCAATTCCAATAGACTAATGTAAACGAATGTTAAATAAGTTCATTAAATTTGTCAATGTTTTCAGATTCGACTAAATTATCTACGTGAAACAGAGTAAAACTACTTTCAATATTATGAGTGTTAGTGTGACCATAGTAACCATGAATGGTCTGGTCTAAGGCGTTGCTTACATAACCATTCCTTTACATGCAACAAACGCTTACAATGCCGCACGACGAGACCCAGGCTGTCCGCCAGCTCTGAATTGATCATCGTCACCGTCGTTGTGCCGTGTCGTCGAGCAGAGCATACACTCTCACTACACCTTTGAGTCCGTGTAGTTGTACTGCTACCACACTGAGTACACACTCTGTTCATCCGTTTGTTTTGGTGGATTATCTGATGTAATGTGGGCTATGGTGGACTATGTTGGAGAATCAGGGACACTCGCTCGATGCCGTAAACCACAGCCATCTCTGTCGCACGCGGGAGCCGCACATGTACCGTGTCGTGCTAATAGGCCTCAGTAGCACAACCCACTATTGTTTAACAAAACTCCACTCATCCTTACGCATTGCGCGTTTAAACATTCAAAATTCTGGCAGTGTGTGCTTCGATTTACGGCATATTTACACTGCTCATCGTTCACTTCTGTCGTTGTAAATATGGAACGTTCAACAAATCTTTTTACAATACTTCGCTTGGCTGTAACTTTATTTGTTTTAAACACACCTAGATTGATTTATTTTAGTTGCTTTTACAGCGTAATATCTTATGCAATATTACTATGTTTTGTTACAAAAGATAATAAATGTAACGCTTTTACAACAAAATATCAGAAAACGAGTTATTATAACAAAAAGGAACAAGAACGAAAATAACCCCCGGAATGAGGTTGTAATTAACGTGGGAGCACTACACTACAAGGTGACCGTTTACATGCTGGTTCTACAAACAATCTATAAACAAATGATTGTACAAACTTATTGTAAACTTATGTTTGTCAAAAAAATTATCCCATTCCCACCGGAGTCTATTGCTAATTCTTCCCAGGAAAGAGGTATTTTCAGAAATAGTGGGTATTAAAAATTACTTTTAGTACGTATTATTACGTAGTACTATATTTATTATGTAGTATTATGTAATAACCTATTGAACAAAAAATATATTTTTAATTCTAACTAACTTTGCATGATTCTGAAGATAGCGCAAAAAATTAAACTTTCGCAAAAAATTCTATAAAAAACAACTATTTTTTACCACAGACTATCGGACGGCGACGACAATAATTTCTCATTGGACAAAACTTTATCATAATACGTATTGCAAAACTGAATAAAGGCAACAATTTTACTCACTAGTGTTTTGTTTTAAAAATAAAGTAATTTTCTGTATCAGTACCTATATAAATAATAGACCAGATTTAACACGAGCGCATAGTGTGTGGTTAGTCTATAATAAAAATATATAATAAAATTCGTATGTGGCAAATTCAACAGCGGACTTTCGAAAGTTTGTAATGAATTAATGACTAATAATAAATGTTACAAAATTAAAGGCATCAAGATAAAATCTGGGACACACAAAGTTTGATGAAGAAAAAGAAGTGGTGATTATTTGCGAGCGAGCTACGTACCTTGAGGAAGCCGGCGATGGCGGCGGCGCCGCACTTGTCGCGCGACATGCCGGCCATCGCGCCGCCCGTCTTCACGTCGCAGCCGCCCGTGTCGTACGTCACGCCCTGACCGTAAGTACCGCACACTCAACGTCACGTCTCCCGTAAACAATCTCTGATCCATTTTAATCGGAACATGCGATATTTTACGGGAGTAAGTTAAATATTTAAATATAAAAATAATTACAATAACTTTAGGATGAGAAACGAAGTTATCTTGCTAAGATATACGTAAAACAATATTATTAAGCTATTGCATAGCTTCTATCGCGGGCCTTGAGCGCGGGGACCGAATCCAGAAATTCCGTAACGAAAAAACACCTCACGCTCCCCACTCCGACGGGCACGGAGGTGTGGCGTTGAAAGCCGTGCATCGTCTAACGTCGTTTCAGTTCGGCAGACTTCGGCACGGTGTTTGTGTGCGTGCGACTAGACGTATGCGTGTACACTAGCTGCTAACTCAATGATAAAAATTCCTAAATAACCTACATGTATTGTAAAATATTAAAAATATTTTAAACAATATTAACTCCTCATTTATTCAATAAGAGAAAAAAAAAATGTTTTCTTATAGGTCACCACGCTCAAAAAGTGTAACTTGATTTAATATCAAAGACTTAACTGCATAAATAAAATAAATAAATAATTATAATTGCATAAGTTGATAAATTTTTTTTTTAAAAAAATTTAAAAAAGCTTTACCGCGGCAGTAACCGAGTGCCACACGTATTTTTTTTTATTATTTTATAAGGGTGACAAAGTAACACAGTTCACCTGATGTTAAGTGGATGTTGTGGCTCTTGGACATCTGTCCTCTATTATAAATTAATTTTATTTTATTTATTTAGAGAACCAACAGCTTTAAACTAAATAAAATTTACAACAGATCGGATTATCTTAACATAAGCCTTATTACAGGTTTCCCTATATTATCTATACATAATTTAAAAGAATGAGCGACGATTCCTTATCGGTATAAAGATAATAAGCAATGAATAATCAGCGGTACTACAATAAACATTGTATATACAACAACATAATGTGTGCGTGTGAGTGTGCGTGTGCGTGCGCGTGCGCGGGCGCGTGCGCGTGTGTGTCTGTGTCTGTGCGTCTGTGCTCGTATATTTGATCTGAGTTAACCTTAATCATAAATAACTATTGAAGAGTTTTTTTTTGCGCACGAAGCAAATATGGGCAACCCTCCGGAAAGCGGGGGAGGGAGGTTGGAAATGCTCATAGCATACCACGCATCCGGCTGCGTGGTTATGTGGTGACTTTTACCCACTAAACCCAACCTTTTAGGAATTGGCTTAACGATCTGATTAGAGATCTCTAAGCCGTATACGAACGCGACCCTCCTTGGCAGAAAGGAGGGCGCAAGAAAAGTTTTTTGCATACTTTAGTTTTATAGTTTTCTCTCTTTTTCGTAAAAATATCAATATTGTCAAAAAAATTATTATAGGTGCAACACATCCGATTTATTGGTGAGTTTTTGGTATATTTCGTATGAGAGAGAAAAATTATTTAGTGTGTCTAGTACGGTATATGAGTGTGGAGAAGTTGATAAGTCCAAGTAAATGCGAATTATCTAGGCGGCCGTGAATGAGATCATATAATGTCATTTGATCAAACAATTTTCTTCTGTCTGCTAATGAAAGGAATTTATAGAACATACATCTTTCTTTGTATGTTTGATGTTGTTCTTTAATTCTGTAGTCCATAAACTTCAAAATTTTTTTTGTAATACTTCTATTTTGTTAATATACGTATAGTATTGTGGACACCATACGTTGCTACCATACTCTAATATACTGCGAACGTAGGCATAATATAATACTTTAATACAGGGTAAGTTATTGAAAGGTTGGCATGTACGTATTAAGAAGCCTAAGTTTCTATATGCTTTATTTGTGATGTAGTCAATATGATTACTAAATGTAAGCTTGGAATCCAATAAGATACCAAGATCTCGGACTACCTCCGCTTTTTGAATTATTGATCCGTTCAATCTGTATGCATATTCAACCGGTTTAGTTTTGCGTGTAAATGTGCAAGTTTGACATTTCTTGACATTAACTGTGATTCAATTATATTTGTAACAATGGTTCAACCTGTTTAAATCTTCTTGAAGCTTATGGCTATCATTTAAATTGTTAATTTTAATAAATATTTTTTTGTCATCTCCATACAGTAAGAATGAGGAATGTTTAAAGCATGTAGATAAGTGTTATACCGAAGGGGCCCTAAGTGAGACCCTTGTGGCACACCAGATGTAATTTTTATAAAATTTGATCTATGTCCTCCTACAACTACTGCTTGGGAACGATTTTTTAAGTATTTCAGAAGGTCCCCGTGTATTCCTAGTATTTTTAACTTACGAAGCAAGATGACGTGATCCACGCGGTCGAAGGCTTTTTCGAAATTCATGTAGATCACGTCAACCTGCCCCCCGCCATCCATATGATTGATAGTCTCTGTGATAAAATGTGTTAGGTTACTAATAGTTGATCTGCCTTTGAGGAAACCATGCTGAGATACTGGTAAACCTCGACTTATGGTCAGGTAAATGTAATTAAATACTAATTTTTCGAATATTTTCGCGAATATATTAAGTATAGATATAGGTCTATAATTTTCAACTTTAATACGGGTTCGTTTTTTAAATATGGGTACTACATGAGCTTCTTTCCAGATGTATGGGAAATAACCTTCCTGAAGAGATCTATCGAATAAAATGTGAAGAGGCTCAGACAATGACTTAGCACATTTGAATATAAATATAGGTGGGATTTTGTCACTACCCGGTCCCTTTTTTACATCTACTTGCTGTAGCGCTTTAAAAACATCTGCCTTGGAAACCCTAAAGCAATGTAAATGTCGGTCGTTGCTACTAGAAGGTATAGGTAATGCAACATCAGGATATGAAGGAGCAGGCGGGATAAAAACACTTTAGAAAAATGAATTGAAGACTTCTACAATTGCTGGGCCTTCGCTATGCGTTGTATTTTTATACGACATTTTATTTGGATAAGAATAAGTATTACCACGTTTTGATTTGATAAAAGACCAGAAACATTTAGGGTTATTCAGTATGGCTTGTTGAGTAGTATCCAAATAATTATAATAACACTGTTTATTATAAACTGACGCACGCTTACGTAATAAAGAGAACATGTTGTAATCCGCTAAGTTATGAAACTTTTTCCAATTTCTGTGAGCTTTAGCTTTTTCTTTTAAGGTATTAATCAATAATTTATTATACCACAGGGGCCTTTTCGTGTTGTGAGGTAGAGATATTATACATTTAAGGAATAAGAAAGAGAAATAGGTTTTTATGTTAATACCGTTTAAAGAATATAATGGATAATAATTTCAAATTAATAACTTATAACTGCAAGAATATTAAGCGTTCTGAGGTATGTGTGAAGTCACTGTGTCAGTCAGCTGACATTGTAGCGCTGCAAGAGACGTGGTTGCTGTGTGATGATCTTCCTTTTTTGAATGCTATTAGCGATGAGTTCGCGGGCACCGGCACGTCGGCAGCTAATACGTCTGCTGGCTTGCTTCGCGGCAGGCCGTATGGGGGTGTTGCGATCTTGTGGCTTAAGGTGGCGCTTACTTCAGTGACAGTGATCGACTGTGAAAATCCTAGGGTATGTGCAATAATTGCCGTTAGTGGTGACCGATCCATATTGGTATTCAGTATTTATATGCCAGTGGATAAAAATGAGAACCTAATTGAGTTCACGGAGTGTTTAGGTAGAATTAGTGCTATCATTGAAAGTTGTGCGATAGAAACAGTTTACATTGTTGGTGATTTCAATGCTCACCCAGGTGAGCTATTTGGTGATGAATTATTAAAGTTTTGTACGGATCAGTGTTGGCAGTGCGCTGATATGGACAAACTCGGTATGTACTCTGACTCTTTTACATATGTAAGTGATGCACACGGTAGTAGAAGATGGCTCGATCACTGTGTGACTACTACTGCCGCTTACCAAACTGTGCGCAGTGTTGAAATTTTACACAGTATTTATTGGTCGGATCATTTCCCTTTAAGTATTACTTGTGACCTAGCAATTGTGAGCTCTATTAACCTCAAAATATTGTTAAGAATAGTAAAATAATATGGGGCAACAGAAAACCACATCAAATACTCAAATATAAAGAATATTGTAATTCGAAATTTAGAGATATGCATTTACCGGTAGAGTTTTGCCATTGTTGTGATCGTATGTGTACATGTATAGATCACAAAGAGACTTTAGATAAGATGTATGAGGCTATGGTAAATACCTTAAGCGAGGCCGCAATTATGACATATGAAGGTAGTGCCATTACTGCCAAAAAGAAAACTGTAGTCGGATGGAATAAATATGTAAAAGATGCTCATAGGGAGTCCAGGATTCAATTTGATAATTGGTTACAATGTGGCAAACCTAAAGGGGGCATTGTGTATGATCATATGTGTGAGAGCAGACGTCGATTTGAATCTAAGTTAAAATGGTGCCAGAATCGGGAAGAACAAATTAAAATGGACATAATAGCTACTCAACATTGTAATAAGGACTTCAACAATTTTTGGAAATCCACAAATAAATTAAATGTGCGGCCTGGTCTTCCTGTGAGCATAGCGTGCCCAACTAATGATAAAAAAGAGATTATTGAAAATTTTAAGCAATATTTTAATGTTGACTCTCCTTTAGGGCCCATAAATGGTAAAACCTACACGGAAGTCCCCTTCGACACAAATCCGGTTCGCTTCACAGCTAAACAGGTGGGTGCAGTGATTATGAACATGAAAAGGGGGAGGTCTCCTGGGTATGATGATCTTAGCATTGAGCATTTGCAACATGCTGGTGGCCATCTTCCTAGGGTTTTGGGTTTGTTCTTTTCACTGTGCCTACGACATAGATATCTACCTAATAATATAATGAGGACTATTGTGATGCCAATTCTAAAAAAATAAAACTGGGGACATCTCGGAGATAACCAACTATAGACCTATATCGTTGGCTACAATATTAGCAAAGGTACTGGACGGTCTACTTGATACGTATTTAAGA